AAAAAAAAAAAGAGAGCTCAGCACAGCTGGCCAATCACAGCGAGAGGCGGGTGTGAATGATGGATGGTCTGTTAAAGAAAACTACAGAAGTTATATCGTGCTGACTGTGGACGATTTTTCTTTCCTGTTCTGTTATTTAATACACTGCTACACTAAGTTACACACATGTTTTAGGTGATTGTGTAAAAAACATGAACGCAGAGGATGAAATGTATGATTTTGTTGTGCTAAATATGATGGTGTGGGTCTGCAGCTCATTTGGAAGGCGACTTTGAGGAGATGGAGAGCAGACTGGTCTACCTGGAGACTCTGTGTTGTCAGTGTGAACAACAGACGGTCAAACAACATCACGTCAACCAACTAGAAGTCTATAAGAAAAAGAAGAGGTAGGAGACGCGCATGAATGTTTAAATGTGTGAGAGGAGCTCGTTGTTGACCCTCGACGCTTTCTGAAAAATCTGTGACTTGAACTAAACATTGCATTGGCACTGATTTAAGGAAAAAATTGTTGCAATCTTAACACTTGTCCCTTTAGTTTGTATCTGTGTACTAGAGGTAAGGCTGTCTGTAGCTTTTACTTCCTGTTGTTAGTAGACAATGAAACCATCAGTGGAAATAAGAGACTTTTAAGGCAAATTAAAGTTACAAAGATCTGCTAACCAGTTCCACACTTGTGTTTATACATTTGAAAATGCATTGAATCACACTAAATTGGTGCTTTAAAAAAAGAGCAGTCTTGTGTCATAGTCAAGGGTTGGTACCTTAAAACTCTACTCAAGTAGAAGTACTCAAGTAAAAGTACTAGTTGAGTAAAATTACAAATATTGGCGCCTGTTCTTTTTTTCTCCGCACTTCTATTAGATGTGAATATGAGTGACATCAGTTCAGGTAAGGAAGTGAACATACATCTGTATCTATGGTCAGTTGGTGTGGTCATCATGTCATCATTAGATCATCTGCTGCATGTACACCAGGACAATATTCCCAGTCCGTATCTCTCTGTCAATATAACATTACTATTGTACTCTCTGAAAAAACCCCACTGAAGACATGTTTTAAATTACATTATTTTGCTTTTTGTCTCTTGTATTTTATTACGAGTGGGCAAATACATCGGATGTGCATGCACAATGTTAAATCTGTCAAGAAGTAAAGTAGATCTATGATCTTTTTTTTGATCAAGAAAATCCTGAATGAGTTTGATCTCTAAATGAAACATTTCCCATCGACAGTTTGACGCAGATTAAATACAGTTTCTAGTTTAGTTACACCTTCCTTCAGCTACTGGATATAGTCAACAGTTAGTCTCAGTTACTATGTATTCATTGCAGCTGTGTGACACTGTGACCTGATAGCCGAGTGGTTAGGGCGCAAATGCCCTGAGCAGCGGGTCGCAGGTTCAGACTGTTTGCTACATATCACTCCCCTACTGTCTTTCCCCACACATCTGTCTCAACTATCTCTATCAAATACAGGCATCAACTGCCCAAGAAACAATCTTAGAATAATCATTAAAAGTACAATAAGTGCGTTCAACCATGTGGATAAAACCCCCCCAAAGATTTGACGATTTATTTTTATTTTTTATTAGCCAGGGTGCATTCTGAACAGATGGGTTTTCGGTCTAAAGACGTGTAGAGTTTCTGCTGTCCGTATGTCAACGGGGAGCTCCTTCCACCTTTGTGGAGCCAGGACAGAGAACAGCCGGGCTGGGTGCTGAGGAGAGGGGGGGTGTGGGAGAACTTGGGGAGGTTGAAGTGTGTGAACGTGCACTTTAGTGTTCCAATGTGGGTGTCCGTGTTTGTCATCTGCTATGACTATTATTGACCTGAAGAAAAGTTCAGTTGTATGTAAAGGTTAAATAAGGGGTGTGTGTGTGTGTGTGTGTGTGTGTGTGTGTGTGTGTGTGTGTGTG